TGTCCTTCAGCTACAGCATTGTTCTGTCCCATTAATCCCTGTGCCATGTGGAACCAATTCTTCCTTCCCTACCCATCATGGCAGCAATGATAACAGGAAAATGGTACTCATTTCTCTTGCAATACCAATGAAGACAGCCATCACCATCTGCAGCCTGCTGGTGCTAATGGTCTGGAAAGAGACTCACCATAGTTGTCGTCCTCCCAAGGGCTATATGCTTCTGCCAGACTGTTGTGGGGGGAGAATGTTTATAGAAAACCTAATTGCTTGCCCATAAACAATGCCATTCTGTGAAGAGGGAACACACTGGCTTTTTAGCCCTAGTTGTCAGTGCTCGCACCCCCACCGCCCACCTCAATTAGGGACACCCAATCAGTTTCCCAACTCAGCCATGTTTTGTGTTCACTGGCTCATGTATAATAAACTGCAGCTGCTTCTGTTACAAAAGCAAAGTACCTGTGCTTACTTTCTCTCTCCAAGTCTCTGGTTAAATGAAGACAAACTCCTGTGTACCAAGATTGAGATTAATGGGCCAAAGGAGTAAGAGGCCAATTAAGAGATGATGGATGAGCTAGAACAAGGAATGTGGAGCAGCTGCAGAAAGAGATGGATGGACTCACAAACAGATAACAAATCCAGTCACCCTGATTCATCTATGCCAGAATAGCACAGTAGTCATCTACTTTCCTAGCAAACATAGGGACAGCAGCTCAATCTTTGCATACATTCAGATGGAAGGCAAAAAAACAAAAACGAAACAAAAATAAAGAAACCAGAAGCTGGCAGTTGGCTTCAAATAGTCCAACCAGCGTTAGGTGATTTAATTTTGACTTGATGTGTTTTGGCTGGCAAAAATTTATGGCTTAGCATGTGGGGTGAGCCCAACTAACTGTGGCTTATTCAATAAAGCAAGCAATCCACAGCTCAACAGGATGTGACCCAGTAAATTAAGTAACTGTGCTTTTGGTGTGCTTGTGTTGTGTGAGAGTATGGTTTTAGCACATTGTCATAGAAATTCAATCAAGGCTGGCTTAGCCAAAAGAAAAAAAAAGTTTAATGCAAGGTGCACTTACTGGGTCTAAGAAAAATAAAATCTTTTGAGTTAAATTCTAATACTTCAAAGACAATTCATATAATTTTCCTGTCCTTGTCATTTAAAATTACTTTACTTTTGCTACTAATTTAATCATTTATCCATTAAAGATTACCCTTTTAGAGGCCTGTTAGAAAAATAGGAGCAACATATTACAATAAGCAGTACACTGGTGATTAAGTTAGAAAGTATCTTGTACCCTAATTAATGGCAAACCCTTGCTGTCAGTGGCAGTACCGAGCTTCTGATTTACTTTGCTTTGATATGAATAAGTTTAGCAGATATATATATCTCCAAATTTCTTTTTCTGACAAAGAGTTAAAGAATTAAACTGGGAGACTAAGATGGCCATTTCGAGCTCATTTGCTCTCTTCAGTTAGCCACACCCTTTATGGGATTCGAACCTGGGCAGTTTACCTGCTAGGCAGTTGTTTAACCACCAAGCCACAGGCTCTCCTCCGCTCTTTGCCAGCCGAGTCAAGGGAGTATATACAGGAAGTTTTTCAGACAGAAAGCAAGGCAAAAGCGATTGTAAAAAGTAGAACTGCAGTATAGCAGTCAAAATGCCAAGGTGTAATCAATCAGACCGGTCTGTCTGAAAAACTTCCTATATGGAATGGGTTATGAAGATGTCAGAAATAGCAAAATTGACTTATTTGATCAGGGATAAAACAAATATTTTTATAAGACTGTAAACCTTTTTATAGACTTTTTACTGAAAATGGGAAAAAAAGTAAGTGATGATGTATGCTTTTGATTATTCCAATAAGACTAAAAAAGGGGAGGAGGCGTAATGAGTTTGTAACTGTTGAAAAGAAGGTTGGAAGCTGTGTATTTTTTCATTTCTTTTTTATTTTTCTTATTTTTCTTTGCTTTTTGCACTTTTACTTTTTTCTTCTCTTTTCTTCATTATATTTGCTTTTTGCTTAAGTAAAAAAAATATATTTATATGTAAAAAAACCCCTGAATTGTAGTCCATGTACTAGGGATAGCAATCCAGTATCATAGAACATAGAATGCGATTGGAAGGGACATTGAAGGTCTTCTAGTCCATCACCCATGGCAGGATTCCTTATATCATTCCACACAAACCTCCAGTGTTGGAGCATCCACAACTTCTGGAGGTGAGTCATTCCACTGATTAATTGTTCTGTCAGGAAATTTCTCCTTAGTTCTAGGTTGATTCTCTCTTTATTGATCTTCCACCCTTTACTTCTTGTCATACTCTCAGGTGCTTTGGAGAATTGATTGCCTCTTCTCTGTGACAGCTCCTCAAGTACTGGAATCACCCCTAGTCCTTCTCTTGATTAGACTAGTCCAGGGGTCTTCAAACTTAGCCCTTTTATGACTTGTGGACTTCAACTCCCAAAATTCCTCAGGAATTCTGGGAGTTGAAGTCCACAAGTCATAAAAGGGCTAAGTTTGAAGACCCCTGGACTAGACATACCTAGTTCCCTCAACCGTTCATCATATGATTAGGCCTCCAGACCCGTTATCATCTTTGTTTCTCTTCTCTGCACTTTCTGGAGTGGACTGGATGCAGCATTTCAAGTGTGGACTCACCAGTGAAGTATAAAGTGCAGTATAAAGTGTAAACTGTCGCTTCACATGATCCTGAAACTATATCATTGAGATGTACGGTATCTAAAATTATTGTGATGAAGCCAAATTCAGGCCTGACCTCCTAGGTTGCCCCTGCATTTGGCCAAAGAGTACCATGGGACATTTTCCAGGTTGCCTCAAACTCCCGGAGTGGAAGTCGCCCCATTCATTTCTGAGTCTGCAGCATCCCTTCTCCAACCAACTGGGGGTCCTTACCTTTTGGGGAGGTGAGCAGAAGGATCTTTAGAGTTGGACCAGGCTGCCAAGGCCTGCTCATACTCATCTAATTCCTCTTTGAGCTTAGGCTTCTTCTCTTCTTTCTTCTCTGCCTTCCTCCCCCCACCCTCCTTGCTGTCTTCTCTTTCTTGAAGGATTCCATCTTAGATTGATTTTTTGCAATCTTCTTGGCTGCAACCCCACAATAAGCCAAATGAAAAAGGAACAGGGTTTCAGTGCCGGAGTGTCAATTTCTAGCATCTTGAAGCATTAAAACAGTGTTTCCCAACAGTTTTCTTAGAGTTCTCTCTCCAGCTTCAAAGGGAACATGACCAGGACTGGAGCATTTAAATTTAAAGGAAGAAGTATAACATTGCTTTTTTCCTTTCAAGTAAGCCCTCAAATAATCTATTTTTAAATGGAAGAATCCCAGATCTGGGTAATATGGCTACAGTCAAGGCATATAAAGCTCTTCCATTTGCCTGCTATCCTTTGAAATGAAGCAAGAAGGTAGATCATTTTCAGAACAGGTCTAATTATTTGGTTCCCACTGCAAGCTATGCAACAATAAATGCAAACCATACTAAAGTAAACCAAAGCCACTCAAAACTAAAATGCACATATGGCTTTATTGTGCTGTGCCACATTTATGTAGGACCAACCTATCATTTCATTATAACCATGCCGCGCATTTAAGTCCAGCACCTTCACTATCTACATTTTGCGCATAAGAGCACAAGACTCCTACATATCAAATCTAATGTCTGAAAACCTGACACAAACAATTAAACCAGTACAGCAGAAGAGATTCGAAACTGATGCAGCAACACTGTGCAATTGAAGGGCTTCAAGGCTGTCATTTGCTATTACTAAGGCCAAGGAAAAATCTCATCGGTGATCAGAGCTAAAACACTTTATTGGAGATGAAAATCACTGACATTTCAACGGCCATTGTGTGATTTTTGCAAGAACAGGTTTGTAATCAAATGCAATTTGCTTTCATCTCAGTTACAGCCATCATGATATAAATAACCAATTCAAAACTGTTCTTTTTCCGACATTATATCCCAAAGAGGACTTTCGATGCTGCAGGCTACAATTGATCCATCCTGGCTCTCAAATTACACTGCAGCTGTTTAGAAACTCCCCTGCAAGCTGGCTGCTCCAAGGAAAATGCCTTGGTGGGCTAATTACTCATCCACCTTTAATAAACTAACATTAGAACGAAAAGGAGCTGCTAAGAAATCTACTAAGTGAAGCTAGTTTACCTTGTTGCATATTACTGTACAGATCACTCTATTTTTAGCATCTGCTGCTGCTTCTAAAATACATCTCTGAAAATGCGTAAGAATGGCTTAGAACAGTGTTTCTCAAGTTTGGCAACTTGAAGATGTGTGAACTTCAACTTGACTTGGATGGACTTGGAAACTTCCAATATGTGGAATTCTGGGAGTTGAAGTCCATACATCTTCAAGTTGTCAGGGTTGAAAAACGCTGGCTTAGAAAATTCTTCTCAATCCCAAATATTTTGGACTTGGTCATATATTTGCCAGCCAGCATGAGGATCAGTTGTGTGGGTCAAGAGTTATGAAAATCAAATATGAAGTTGGGGAAAGTTACCTCAGAAGCCACAGAACTAATTTTGAAGCTGAATGCATCCACCATGATTTTCCTGCTCAATGACTAACTTGTCAAGAGTCATTTCGCTCAGAAAAGAAAGGGATCTGGCTGTAAAGACTGTTGACAGCATCCTGTGTCTGTAAAAGAGGAAAATACTAAAAACCTACCTAATTCGTTATAATCTGCAGAATCAGAGAGAGATTTATACAAAGTCTTTAACCCCAGTGGGACCACCATCTGTCCCATCTCATTCCACTCTTGAGGAAGTCTTATCACACTGTATATTAGTAAATATTCTGAGTGTGTACACATACATCATCATAGATGAAATAATTTCCAAGATAAGAACTGTTGCGAGCAGATCCTCCATGGGCTGAAATGTCTCTTTTTTTCTCCAGACTTCTATCAAGCTGCCTAAAGTTGTCTCTGGCCTGATGGATGCTATATAAGTTTAATAACAAAACAAAAAATAAAAAGAGAAAGTCTACAAGGATTCCCTGGTTGGATAGAAACCAAAATTGCTTTAGCTCCCATGCCATCACTGATATTGGATAGTGATTTCCCCTCTATGTTAAGCCTGCACTGTTTGCTCCGCACTCCTCTGTCTGTCCCTGTTGAGCCAGAAGATGGACGTGAGGATATAAATCACTTCGGTTCTGTAATGCTGAATCATTCAGGCCTTCTGGGACTGAACATGCTTGTCTGTTATTTTCTCATCAGATGATCTTCACATCCGGAGGATCTGCTTAACTGATACATATGGTTCCTGGGAAATCTTCAAAGCTGCTTGGTAATCTACCAAAGGGACTTCTTGGCAGGCAGGAGCAACCAACTGACCCTTTCGAATGAGAGTGCACAGATCTGCTATCATTGTTTCCAGCTTGTCTTTGCCTGTGTATAGAAAAGAAGGCAGAAAATAATCATCAGTTGTTCTTTCTTTCTGAACTACTGAGTTTAGACCAGGGGTCTTCAAACTTGGCCCTTTTATGACTTATGGACTTCAACTCCCAGAATTCCTCAGCCAGTGTGCCTGGCTGAGGAATTCTGGGAGTTGAAGTCAACAAGTCATAAAAGGGCCAAGTTTGAAGACCCCTGGTTTAGATTCAAGAGAATAATAATCATTGGTACAATAAATTCTGCTGGAATCTCCTCTGCCTGTCCCTCTGGAATGATATTCTCACCAGAGCTTTGTCTTGAACCAACTCTGCCATTTTTTAATCCAGCCGTTTCCTCCAGGCCCTGGTAAAGTAGTTCTCTTGTATTATTGAGTCTTGTTCTTTTTTGTTTTTGTTTTGCTACTTTTATTGGGTCATGTCATTTTAGTGGAGATTTTTTATTGGTTGTTTTTACTGTAAGATACTGTAAGCCCAGAATCCACTGAATTAGGCAAATCTACATGGTGGATAAAATAAATTGCTCTCAGGCAACCTGAAAATAAAAATCAGCAATACCAAAAAGTTCAATACATGATACAATTGGAATTATCTTTTTTAGTTAGGGAAGGAATAAACAGACTTCAAGATTATGGGAAGTGCATAATGTTTTTTTGTAATCCACAGACTGCAAAGGCTCAACCACCTAACCCAACATTATAAATTGGGCAGCAGAGTGTCATCAAGTATATTTATTTTATCCAGTGTATAAAACTGACTAACTCAATTGATTAAACTCAACCCATATCTCTGACAGTAATATTTCTTTCACTTTTGACTGGAGATGCATCAGATCACAGATGTTCTGCTATAACCCTTTTCATTAAGCTAAGGAAACAGTGTCTTCTTATTTTTCTAGTACTCAGCCCTCTTTCAATTGTCATGTATGGAGTTTTGTTTTCATTGGCTGCAGATTATTTCACATGCATTTTAATCCACTGAATGAGAGAGATGAGAAATTTGGAGCTGAAGGCAGATTTCATCAGTTCCTAATATAAAAACAACGCACACATGCCACTTACTCTGGGCATTGGCCCTCTTCCACTGGGTCATCCAAAAGCCACAAAGCTTGACATCCTTAAAGATCAGTGCGCTCTGCAGAGGAATTACAATTCACAAGTTCTGAAATACAGTTTTGGGATGGGGGGGAATTTAGCATCACAATAGGGGGATATCAGAATGTGTTTCCTCTTAAGAGATATTGCTCTAACAACTGGGAAACCTAAGGCACAAACAGAAATAGTGTACAGGTAGTCCTCGATTTACAACAGTTCACTTAGTGACTGTTTGAAGTTACAAAGGCACTGAAAAAAGTGACGACCATTTTTTACACCTATGACCATTACGGCATCCCCACGGTCACATGATCAAAATTCAGATGCTTGGCAACTGACTCCTACTGATGACGGTTGCAGTGTCCTGGGGTCATGTGACCCCCTTTTGCGACCTTCTGACAAGCGAGGTCTATGGAGAAGCCAGGTTCACTTAATAACAGTGTTACTAATTTAACAGCTGCACTGATTCACGTAACAACTGTGGCAACAAAGGTCATGAGATGGGGCAAAACTCACTTAGCAACAGAAACGTTGGGCTCAGTTGTGGCCATAAGTTGAGAACTACCTGTGTTATCTCAGGAAAGGGAACATGTGCAGTCTGGCCAGAAAACTTTAGGGTTACTCACCACAGGGACTGTCACAGGCTGCTTTGACATCCCACCGTAGGTAATCATGGTCCCACTTTGCCTAATGGAAGAGTCAAGGCAACGAAGTTGGCAAACTACCTTCATTCAGACCTGCTTTACTGTCCAGCTTCCTCAGCCTTTGGGCACCTGGTTAATTTCTGCAACCATTAATTGGAAACCATGCAGTTCAGAGGTTCAGAGCAAGAAGCAGGACGCTGCCCTTTCCTGGAGGGTTCACTGGATTAAAGTGTAGTGAGAAATCCAAAAAGGGCTCTCTTTCAACATCTCGCTAAAATCTTCAACATAGCTGTCCTTCACAGAAAACTTTTCCTCGTGGTTCTGATTCAAGACTTCTTGAAATACAACATTAGGGGTGGCTTCATGTTGGGTATCAGGTTTTAAAAGCACTCTCAAGTGAGTCCTTTAAATTGTAAAATCCAGATCAATTTTGATCTATTAAAAACCTTGGAATTCTGGGAACTGGCTTAGAATACCATTCTCCTTCTCCTGTCTAATAATGACATTACATTTGCTAAAAACAATATTAATACACAGTAAATTCATACTACTACAGTGAAATGATGATACAAAGATCTATTCTGACTATTCCAGAGCTATGGAGCTGGATTTCACTGAAATTATAAAGTTTAAATATTTTTCAGAAGCAGCACAAAATCCTTCAACCCTGACTGGCATTTGGCAGCTTGCTAGCTGGGCAAATAGGTTTGTCATGAGGTTTTTAAGTATCTCTTAATTTTTTTCTTAAGTGTCACACAAGCGAAACCTTTTGGACAGTATTCAATACAATTGCAAAATTGTCATCTTCAAGACAAGAATTCAGACAGTACAAATCTGACACTATTAAAACAGCAAATCTTTGCACTAATCCATATTAGTAAATTTAAGGGCGTTTGCATGCCATGCTTCAAAAACACTTTTCTTAGGCAATTCATAATCCAAATGAAAATTAAAAACAAATTGCCCAGTAAGCATTTAAATTGAGTGAAACAATTACTACAGATATAATTCAAGCAAAGAAAAGCTAAATTTACCGCAAGTGACGCATCAGCTCAGTAGCACTTTTCCCTCCAACACCATTCAGAGCTAACGAGGGTTTAGGAATTTCCTGGAGAACAAAATTGTAAAACAAAACAAAAACAAAAGAGCACAGAAAACAAGTTGCTTCCTGCCTTAAGTCCTCCAAATTATTCATAGAAATAAATGTTTGATTTTGCTAAGTAGTTCTTAGATTTCTATCTTACAGTCATCTTTTCAGCATAGAATGGGAAGGCAGACATCCAACTGTAACATGGTTTTGTTTAGAAACAGCAGAACTAAGAAGGATTATACAACTAGTCCTTGACTTATAACACTTCATTTAGTGAAGGTTCAAAGTTACGACGTCACTGGAATAAGTGATTTATGACCGTTTTTCACACTTACAACCATTTCAGCATCCCTAGCATCACGTGATCATTCGTGGTTTTGGGGGAGATCATTCGTGGTTTTGGGGTGGATTTCCATCAGTACGCTGACGATACTCAGCTGTACATTTCCACCCCAGACCACCCCAACGTTGCCCTTGACGTGATGGCCCGCTGCCTGGAGGCCGTACGGGTCTGGATGGGGAGGAACAGACTCAGGCTCAACCCTTCCAAGACCGAGTGGCTGTGGTTGCCAGCGCCTCGGCATAGTCAGCTGACACCATCGCTGACTATAGGGGGCGAAACTTTGGCCCCCTCGGAGAGGGCGCGCAACTTGGGAGTCCTCCTGGATTCGCGGCTGGCACTGGATGACC